ATGCTCCTTTGTTTTCCACTCAACCCAAAACCGAATAGCAGACTGTAAATGCCTGAAAAATTCCTGCCTGGCTAAAGATAGAAATCTATTTGCCTTATCATAGCTAAGACAGGCTGACAGTTTCCAAAATAATTTGACCAAAAGCTGAAGGAAGACCACAACACATAGAAAAAAAGTGATGTTTTTCCAAATTATAGATCTCTGAGCCAAAGAGTCAGCTGTGCTGAGCCTCCCAGGCTGGCAGGTGCCTTTCCCAAGCCCCTCACCCTGCTCTGTGCCCCCCAGAGTCCTGCTCGTTCATTGGCCACCTTCCTGTCTCGGTTCCTCTCAGCTTTTGCCTGTGTTTTAGCCAAGTGACCCTGACTTTCACTTTATTTTTCTGATTCACAGAGAGTCTTATGCCCTATGCCCAAATCATAGACGAGTCCGTGTTAAACGCTTTTCCTTTTCCTTCTTCCATTCTGAGCATCCTGAACTCTTCTTGGCAGCCTGCTACTTAGAAACCGTTGGTGGGTCACTCGCCAGTGCCTTGTGAGCCTTTCCTGCTGGTCGCCCACTCCTCTGGACACCTCACCACACCCTAAAGAAAGGTGTCATCTTTGTCCCAGTGTTTAATAGGAGACACCTGGGGCATATGGATGTTGGGTGCCCTGTGCACGTGGTGGCTCTGGGCTTTGCACCGAGCCCACCTTCCTGGCCCTGGTGTCCAGCCATCCTGGGACCAGTGCTGCCCAGGAGGAGGCCCGAGAGACTGTGCTGTTCTGCCCCACGGTGTCATCTCTTAGTGGTTGTCATCTCTGACTAGTTTTTACTATTCTAACAGGATTATAAATAGCCAAGAGATAGTGAGGAGCTTGTTTAAGAGGTCTGTGTAATTGTCAATTAAAGATTTTTTTTCTGACCAGTATAGTTCTTATGATCTTTAATATGTGAACTTTATGGACAGATATGTCAAGTTATGGTTGTTTTAATTTTCTTTAACTTTCCTACAGACTTTCTTTGCTGACTCTGACTCCTTAACATTCTTTTCAAGTGTGCGTTTATTACCAGGTAGAACCGTGTGAATTGCCACTTTGGCAGGTCGGAATGATTGACTGTCAGCAGTTTCACCACATGGTGTAGGTACATCCTATCTGCTGTTTTTTTGATAGAATTCAATTAGGCACAGATTTTCTTATAGAATGTGAAGTCCATCTGAATGATCTTAAGTCTGATTATTAATGAACACAAATGAGGCCAGACCTACGATGTACAAAGCTGTGAGCCCACTGACTTGTCATTCTGTCATAATCCTATCAAGTGTTGTCTGAGGCTGAGGGGCTCAGTTTTGAGCCTTTTAGGGTTGCACAGTGTACACGTGGAGATGTACGGAAGGGCTGATGCTTATGTGCCCTACCTTTCAGTGCGCTCTTTGCCGTGGGAATAGACTCACCAGGAGTAGCCAGTTTTCTACCTTGAGAGACAGTGACACAGACACACCCCTGCGCCAGGTCTTTGATTCATTGCTATGAACACCCTGTCATATTTGATGTTTCATATTTCTCCAAATTCTAGCCTCTTGACCCAATGTTTTCATTTCTGTTGTAGAAACACCGTATTATCTCTAGATCTAATACCCGTTTTCATCATTGTGAAGAGGCCCCTTATTTTGTTGGTAGTTCTTTTTCTTATTATTTTTCATCAATACCCTTGGAGCCCCTTCCTGAGTTTGGGATGTTGTTCCTGTGTTCAGTTTCTCCTGGGAGTTAATTCAGCTTTCACTTGAGGTGTGGCACTTTTGGCTCGCAGCCTCCTGTGAGTTTAATACAGTATTGTTCTGCGTCAGCTGGGTCTCTGCCTGTCTGCCTGAGTGAGCATAGCACTGTCTGCACACCCTTGGGAGTCTTTGATTTCCTGCTTTCCATTAGCCAGATTTCACTGTCTTTGCCATATTTACATTTTGCATTTAAGATTTGTGCATTCTTTTAATCAAATGAGATAAAAATCTATAAATAGAAATAGTGTCTATAAAAAAAATTAGACACAGCTGAACACTTTGGAAGGTGTCTGAGCCCGCTCTGTCAGGATCAGGCAGCTGATGTGAAGGAAGGGCTGTGCCGTGACTCGCTCGCGCCAGCAGAGCCCGCACTGCATGTGTAGTGTGCGTCCTTGCAGAGCGGCTCTGTGGTTGCAGACGGGGGCTCCAATCCCACGCTTTCAGACAGAATCAGAACAAAATTGTCCCAGATAGGACGACCCAGGCTTTGTTTAAATTGTAGTCTTACTATACAACTGGAAGTATGAAATTTTAAAAGTAAGTTAAAAGTCCAGAGCATAGTGACAGATGCCCTGTGTTTGTCATAGATTTCTCTTGTTCGTGTCTTCGCCTCAGGCCCTCTTTTCTTAAGGAGGCAGATGTAGAGTTGGGGCCTCTACCACTGCCACCCTCCCCTGAAGTTGGAGTGGGTCCTTTCTGTTCATGCTTTTATGGCCCTGGTGCGTGTAGTCAGACACGCAAACATATAAAGTATTTGTGTATTTTAAATTCATGGATGGTCTGTATTGTATTCTGTGTGTCTGTTTGCAACTTGCGTTTCGTTTGGCCAGATTTTAACAACAGCTCACTGGGCGGTTTGGATGCTTTCGTTTGTGTCGTTTCACAACCAGTACTGTGTTGATTGTGTCCTTGTCCCTTCCCTCGTGCGTATGTGGGGAGCTCTCCTGCTGAGTGGACCTGCTGAGTCATGCTCAGGCCTGTCTTCAGTTTTACTGCATGTTGCCACATTACTCTCTGAAGTGATCGTACTGGTCCATACTTCTACTTGCAGTTTATTAAAATACTTGTTTCCCTGCATCCTCACTGACATTTGCTGTTCTCAAGCTTTTTAGTTATTGCCAATCTATTGAGTATAAAAAATGGCATTTTTGCTTTGCTTTGCATTTCTCTAATATTCTAAATTTAATTTTGGGCTAACTCATAGTTATCCATGCAGGCTGTAGAGTATGGTGGAGGCATCATAGATGTGAGAGCTCTGGTTCAAGCACCGTTGTTGGTTTGGAATCCAAACAGGGAGCGAGCAGTCAGGAGCCCAGCACCTGACTCTGGCAGATTGTCCACAGCAGAACGTGTGTCCTCCACGGGAGACGACTGAACAGTGAGGGTCCAGGGAACAGCCAGGTTTTAATCAGGGGAGAATGTGAAAGGGATGTTCTGTGAACAGGTTTCAGACGTGAGGAATTTGTTTCCATGGAATTTGAGTTCCATAAGTACACAGTTTTAGAGGAAGAATCACAGTGAAAAATTGGGTCAAAGAATAAACACATAGATGTTTCCGGTAGTGAGAGTGTGGGGTAAGACACCAAGGATGACAGGCACGCAGCACAGTGCATGTGTGCACACAGCAAGATGCGGGAGACTGGGGAACGGCCACGACAGCCAGCTGGGGTCGGGATTGCTGTTGTGGAGTCTCGGGAGAAGCTGTCGTCTCAGGACTGCCGCGCCCTCATGGGTGAGTGGCTGCACCTGAAGAGGGCGGAGAAGTCCTGCGCCAGGCAGTGCGCAGGCCACGGCCTCATCTCACCGCAGCCCAGCGCTCTGCGAGCTGTCCTCCCAGGGCGGCCTCGCCCTGCAGGGGGCCTGCCTGCATCCCGCGTGCCTGGACTGGTTCAACGTTGTTTGACGAGAAAAATGGAGTTTTAAGAATTAAGCTTACATGCTTAGGACTTTTTAACGTAATTCGTAGAAATATACATTCCCTCCTGTAGATGTAGAGCTGTGGCCCCTTTTTTTTTTTTTTTAGTATGTTTTGAAGATCCACATTGTTTTTCTCATAAAAAGACATATTCTTAGTGCATTGTTTATGATTTCCACTTTGGGTTTCCTTAAGGTGGAGAGAAGAAGACATTTACAAATCTGTCTGAGTGAGACTCTTTACAAAATTTTAAAATTTCTTCCAGTTTTTTATGTCTCAACCATAACTCATTAAAAAATGTTTTTTGAAAGCAGTTTATCGCTATCCAATCTTTCAAAAATATTCCATTCCACTTAAATAGAAAGCAGATCTCTTGATTTTACTTAATACTCATGTTTCATCAAATTGTACAACACATCAGTGTGTCATCTGGCACAAACATGTCTGAACACAAGCACAGCTGCCTCGTGGTCACTGGAAGCGAAGGTCAGCATGTTCTCAGAGAGCAGCTGCCCAGCTGCAGGTGTGTCGCTTGCTGTGAGCATCAGTCACCAGGTTACACAGGGCCGAGTGCATCAGGTAACCCAGTAGAACAGTTGAGTGCAGGTTAGGTAAAGGAGCTTGCTTTGTTAAAATGTAATCAGGCTGCGGCTAAGCCTATTCAGGGACCTCCCTCGCTATGACCATAAATCCAAGCTCTGCGCCATGGGCTGGCCTGGCCGCCTCTGGTCTTGCCTCCCACCACTCTCCCCGTCTGCACTTACCCTCCAGCCTCGCCACCTTTCTGATCCTCAAAGAGGTCACATGACCTAGCTCAGAAGCTGCGTCCTCTGACAGTCCGCCCAGAACCTGTTTATGTCCCTCATGGCAGTCCTCATTGTGGAAAGCATCTTGCTTGTTCTTGTTGTAAAATGAGGGGTTGAATATTAGGACCTATTTCCAATATTTATTCCCAGTAAGACACCGCCTGATTTCCTTAAGCACGTGTGCTCTCTCCTTTGAGCCCCATGGCACCTTGTGCCTGAATGGGCACTTAGAACAGTCTACCTTCTCTGTTCCGTCCAGTACCACAAATCATGCTGAAAGACAGGGTGTGAGTAACCCATTTTACCATCACTGGCAAACATCTTCTGGGCTGTAAAGAGGTTTGCCCACTCAAACGTCAACAAATTCATTTATTTTAATGTCTAAAATCCAATATTATTTATTTATTTCATATAAAGTTAAAGATAATCCGTGTAAGTAAATAAACTTATGTGGAAAACATGAACGTGAAAATATTGCCTGGGTCTGCATCACACTAATGACTGTGATGGGTTGTATCTACAGTTTGCGTGTGAACTTGGACATGGGCAAAGCAGCCTACGGGTGGATGATTATGAGAGATGAGAACATCCCTGGCACTGTTGTCCGGACCAGCACCATCCCAGAGGAGCTGGGGCGCCTGGTGTATTTGTTGACTGACAAAACAGGTACTGTTCTTGTCTGTGTTTTCTCTGAATGCACAAAATAACATCCAATCAGAAGTGATCCTGGTGTGTGTAGATCCACATCTGTTATGGTATGCATATGTGTGTAAAAGAGTATTGAATTAGTTCTTAGTTAGAATTTCCCAGACGCTGCCCAGTAAAACTGGCACACATCTTCTAATATACACAGTATCATCAAAATTAGCAAAATGTTGAATTCTTAGAGATTTAAATGACATATTTCTATATTTTGAATTTACTACTACCTTACAGGTTTTTTGTTTTATTTTACTGCCTTTGTTACACCTTTCTAGTGGCTTCTTAAGAGTAAAAATTGCTTGTTTGTTTATTATAGAATGATACTTGTGAGCTATTAAAAGAAAATAACAATAAGATATATGAATTTGGTATTTTTATAATAACATTCTCCTTAAGAGCCTTGCTACAAACTATTTATCTCACCCTAAGGTTCCATGCCCCAAATTCTATTTGTCTTTATTCATTTCTTTCTTTCTTTCAAATCGAAAAATTCTTGTCAGTCCATAACATGCTAAGAAAGACGAATCGAATCCAGTATTATAGTAAAAGCCATATCTGAGGGTTAAAATCGCTCCTTGATGGGTTGGTTCGTGATCTAAATTACTAGTAATTCTTAGTGAACTAGAAATAAGAGAATATTTATATTATATAACATGATAAAGAAAATATGTCTCAAATAAAATTCAGCATTATTTTTAACAAAGTATTAGAAAAATCTTCACTGTAGTCAGGGAGAAGAAAGAGAAATCTGCTAACGACACTGTTACTTAACATTTATTGCCCTAGCCACTGAGGTAAAACAAGAAGTAGAAACAGTATATATGACCAAAAGAAGCAGCGAATATTTGCAGATGTAACGATCAGCCAAGGAAACCAACTTCTAAACTAAGAGCGCAGTGAAGGGGCGGGAGACAGATTAAATACACGGGGCTCTGTTGGTGCATGGTGGGCGGAGGACTAGAGACCTTACTCACAACAGCTTAAGTGCACATAACACAAATAGGCCCAAACGTGAGGAACATAAGGACACATGTGAAGAAAACGACCAGACATTACAGAGCACCGTAAACAAGACTGAAATAAATGCAGAGACGCACTATGGTCCCAAATGTGAAAATTCAGTATCCTGTAGATGTCAGCCTTCATAATGAATTTGTAAGTTTACTGCAGTTCAGCCAAAATCCAGTTGTTGGGTTGTGTTTGGTTTTCCTTAGGGCTTGTCCTTGTGGGACGTTCAGGAATTGGCCAGTAAGGTAATGCTCATAAATCAGAATAACTCGGAAGTAACAGCTTGAAGGGCTCAGGGTCAGAAAGGTAGACTGGGAAAATATCTTCAGATTTTCCCTTCCCAACCTCATTGGGCCCACAGGAGAAACTTTAAAGAAAAAAAATCTATAACAATACTAGAAACCCAGCAGAAGGGCCATTAGAAGATCCAGAAATTGAGTCATCTCTGGAATTAGTCTGATGGAGAAGCCAGAACAAAGCAAACCCAGATTCAGAATGGCTCCTAAAGAGACCCTACGGAAGTGTAAGAACATTGCTCCAGAACAGAATCCTGGAGAAATTCTTAGTTCATAGCCAACAGGTATATGGGCTGAGGCACGTGGAGTCATCAGGCTTCACGTCATCAACAGAAGAAATCCACCCCAGCTTACCACACTAGTCAGCCTGGTCTTCATTGATAGATAAAATCGTAGATCAAGAATCACAGCATGAAATCAAAGTACCCATGCGAAAAAGCAGAGTGTTCCCAAAGAAAACAAATTCAGTGATTGTTTACAAGGAAACTCAAGAGAACCATCAGGAAAATTTTTAGAATTATAAGAGAACTTAGTTTCATATATAAACTCAATATCAAAATTAAACTGCATTTCTATATACCAGCAACAATTGGGACACTTAATTCTAAAAGTGCCAATTAGAATAGGAACAAAAAGTATGAGTCTGGATGTTATATGGATGTAAGTCTTTAAATTTTGGAAGACCTTACAGATGACTGATTAAATGGATAGGTACACTGTTTTCATGATAGGACGTCTTAATGCAATAAAGATGTCATTTCTCCCCACATTAAAAAGTCTGATGTGTTTGCAAGTATAGGATGAATCAGGAAATTTTATTCACTATTGTAGGAATGTTACTTGGCACACCACATTATAAAACAAAGTTTGACATTATCAACACAACAATTTCACTCCTGCTTCTGTTCCGTAAGGAAATGTGTGCGCATCTACATCAGGAGACATACAAGCATGTTCATAGCATTGTTTTGGATGATGAAAACAAACTGTCTGGATATAACACAAAAAAGTTATCAGTACAAGGGATAAATTATGGAACGTAGTTAGAATTGAATACTAAATAGTGATGATGAAATACAGATATTTACATCAACGTGGGTGGATGTCACAGTAAAACGTTGAACTGAGAAAGGTCTGGGGTCTTCCTCTGTGGGGCAGGAGGATGCACAATGCCCACACTGTGCTGTCCTCCAGGCCGGGCTCCACACCCGCACCTTCTGGTCCCGCCTTTTCAGAGCGTCCTGTGGTCGCCTCCTCACCGTTTTCAGGGTTGAGATTGTGCTCATCACTGAGGAGCAGGGATGGTCTAGTTCGTCTCATCTGGACCAGCAGTCCTTTTGTGGCCATTTTAAATCTGCATATAATACTTCTAGGCATGGCATTGACCTGTTATTTCATCCTAATTCAGGAAGCATATGCCTGAGAGCATCCACTAAAACTTGACGAGTAACTGGTTCTTTCTTTTCTCTCTGTGTCTCTGGCTGGTTGGTGTTAGTAAGTAAAGGTTGTGTGATGTTATTTCTCCTTAAAGTGCTTTTTATTTTGCATTTTAAACAATGGTGGGAGATTCCATAGCCCCTCCACCTCTCTCTGTTGAATTTGAGTTACATTCAGGCTGAGGATAAGTGGCTTTTACTCAGTCATAAAAGTGAAACCTTATTTCTTCCCACGTTTCACTCTGCTACTTTTAAAAGGCAAAAGCAATGCTTCTTAAGGTTTAGCCTAATAAATAATCTTGGTTCCTGAGATTTAAAAAGAATCATAGAAAAATTATATAAAATATATTAGTGAGAGAAAATCTTCTGCGTTTTATTTTCCAAAAGGCCTTTTTATACTAGAAGTTATTGGAGGAGATTTTCTGCCATTAGTTCCTAATGTTGACACTGTATGGGGTTCTTGATATTATTATTTTGGTCTAGATTTTTTTCAGAACCTTTCTCAATAATCACAAGGTGAACGCTGTTTGTGGAGCACTTCTTTTTTTAAAAAGATTGGCACCTGAGCTAACAACTGTTGCCAATCTTTTTTCTTTTTCTGCTTTTTCTCCCCAAATCCCCCCAGTGTATAGTTATATATTTTAGTTGTGGGTCCTTCTGGTTGTGGCATGTGGACACCGCCTCACCATGGCCTGATGAGCGGTGCCATGTCCACGCCCAGGATCCGAACCGGTGAAACCCTGGGCCGCCGAAGCAGAGAGCGCAAACTTAACCACTCGGCCACGGGGCTGGCCCCTGTGGAGCACTTCTGTGTGCACGCCCTGTGACAGCACTGTGTCTGTCCCATGGGAGACGGTCTCATCTACATTTGGGCATCTCCCCACCATGTCTGCAGCTGTGACCTCTCCCAGGACTTCACGATTACTGTGCAGCCATCTCCAGGGAACTCTTGACTTGCATCCTGGTCTCAGGGTCCCGCACCCTGACTCCTGCTACATTCCTGGTCAAAGCAGTAGATGTCAGAGGCCACCCGGCTGGAGGGACTGGGTCTCCTCCTTCCTGAGGGCGTCAGCCTTGGGTCAAGATCCCAGGGGCTCGGAGCAGGGAGTGTTGCTGTGGCTACTCGTGGTGATGCAAATAGAGGACTAAGTGTCTAGTTGTCTTGTCACTGCAAGCAGGTAAATAGGATTTAGTCCCATCCTTGCTTTCACTCTGTGAAAACATGCTTTTCACACAGTCGGATGGAGCCTGGCAACAGACCTGGGGGAGAATCTTTAATGCTGTGTGATCTTGGGTAAATCCCCTAACCCTTCTGAGGAAAGCTGCGTGTTGTCAGCCAGGAAGGTTTTGTGGTGGTATTCACACAGGAGGACATAACTGGGATAGTCAGGCACACATAACCACGAGGCACGGTCAGATTCCAAAAACTGTCTGCACTCTTTGCATTATTGTCCTGGTGAAGCTGGCATATATCTGGTATTTACTGATATGCATTTTTATTCCCAGAACTTCAGTAATCATGCTCTGCTTTTTGTTCCTTACTTTGTTCACATAAATAATTCAACTCTTCTGCTCTCCCCTTCAGGATGGAAATCAGAAGTTGGTCAGGTTTTAGCGGTCACTGTGGTGGCCTCCATGGTCACAGAGGGTCTGACAGTAGGTGGTTGTTTGGTAGAGGGTGAAGAATTTTGAGTTCTCAATATCAGAGATAGGGGTGTAAGGCAGTTTGCAAACATCTTCTGAGAGGCCCGAGTTTCCGCTGAAATGGTTAAGAATGAGCTGTTGTGTAAGGAGCCTTAGGTTGCTAACGTAACTGTGAGGTGGTCCTTCCTATGATTGTAAATTGGGTTTGTGCTTCATCAGGCAGCTTTTTGACAAGAAGTGTCCATCATAGTGCCTCTCTCGTTTTCCGCAGCAGAATAGAAAATGAAGTATCCCAATAATTGCATTACAGTTTCCTTCTTGTGGACAAGAAAGCAATGTGGTATAATTAGGTTTGATTGGAGTGCACGTTTCCGGTAAGATCTGAAATTAATGATGTTGCTATAGTGACACATCTGCGGCCACCAGTGCGTGAAACATAAAGTAATTCATTCGACAGGAGTCGACATCTGTTAACTGCCAGGATACAGAGCTTATTGACACTGACCAGAAATACTAGACGTTATGTGATAAATGAGCAAATGATGCTGAAACTGGAGGACAGATCACTTGTACTTAATCT